ATGATGATGATGACCATGATGGTGATGATGACCATGATGGTGATGATGACTATGATGGTGATGATGATGATGACCATGATGGTGATGATGACCATGATGGTGATGATGACCATGATGGTGATGATGACTATGATGGTGATGATGATGACCATGATGATGATGATGACCATGATGGTGATGATGACCATGATGGCGATGATGACCATGATGGTGATGATGACCATGATGGTGATGATGATGACCATGATGATGATGATGACCATGATGATGATGATGACCATGATGGTGATGATGACTATGATGGTGATGATGATGACCATGATGATGATGATGACCATGATGGTGATGATGACCATGATGGTGATGATGATGACCATGATGGTGATGATGACCATGATGATGATGATGACCATGATGATGATGATGACCATGATGATGATGATGACCATGATGGTGATGATGACCATGATGGTGATGATGACCATGATGATGATGATGACTATGATGGTGATGATGACCATGATGGTGATGATGACCATGATGATGATGATGACCATGATGGTGATGATGACTATGATGGTGATGATGACCATGATGGTGATGATGACCATGATGGTGATGATGACTATGATGGTGATGATGACCATGATGGTGATGATGATGGTGATGATGACCATGATGGTGATGATGACCATGATGGTGATGATGACCATGATGATGATGATGACCATGATGATGATGATGACCATGATGATGATGATGACCATGATGATGATGATGACCATGATGGTGATGATGACCATGATGATGATGATGACCATGATGATGATGATGACCATGATGATGATGATGACTATGATGGTGATGATGACCATGGTGATGATGATGACCATGATGATGATGATGACCATGATGGTGATGATGACCATGATGGTGATGATGATGACCATGATGATGATGATGACCATGATGGTGATGATGACCATGATGGTGATGATGATGACCATGATGATGATGATGACCATGATGGTGATGATGACCATGATGGTGATGATGACCATGATGGTGATGATGACTATGATGGTGATGATGATGACCATGATGATGATGATGACCATGATGGTGATGATGACCATGATGGTGATGATGACCATGATGGTGATGATGATGACCATGATGATGATGATTACCATGATGGTGATGATGACCATGATGGTGATGATGACCATGATGGTGATGATGACCATGATGGTGATGATGATGACCATGATGATGATGATGACCATGATGGTGATGATAACCATGATGGTGATGATGACTATGATGGTGATGATGATGATGACCATGATGGTGATGATGACCATGATGGTGATGATGACCATGATGGTGATGATGACTATGATGGTGATGATGATGACCATGATGATGATGATGACCATGATGGTGATGATGACCATGATGGTGATGATGACCATGATGGTGATGATGACCATGATGGTGATGATGATGACCATGATGATGATGATGACCATGATGGTGATGATGACCATGATGGTGATGATGACTATGATGGTGATGATGATGACCATGATGATGATGATGACCATGATGGTGATGATGACCATGATGGTCATGATGACCATGATGGTGATGATGATGACCATGATGATGATGATTACCATGATGGTGATGATGACCATGATGGTGATGATGACCATGATGGTGATGATGATGACCATGATGATGATGACCATGATGGTGATGATGACCATGATGGTGATGATGACTATGATGGTGATGATGATGATGACCATGATGGTGATGATGACCATGATGGTGATGATGACCATGATGGTGATGATGACTATGATGGTGATGATGATGACCATGATGATGATGATGACCATGATGGTGATGATGACCATGATGGTGATGATGACCATGATGGTGATGATGACCATGATGGTGATGATGATGACCATGATGATGATGATGACCATGATGGTGATGATGACCATGATGGTGATGATGACTATGATGGTGATGATGATGACCATGATGATGATGATGACCATGATGGTGATGATGACCATGATGGTGATGATGATGACCATGATGATGATGATGACCATGATGGTGATGATGATGACCATGATGATGATGATGACCATGATGGTGATGATGACCATGATGGTGATGATGACCATGATGATGATGATGACCATGATGGTGATGATGACCATGATGGTGATGATGACCATGATGGTGATGATGATGACCATGATGATGATGATGACCATGATGATGATGATGACCATTATGATGATGATGACCATGATGGTGATGATGACCATGATGGTGATGATGATGACCATGATGGTGATGATGACCATGATGGTGATGATGACCATGATGGTGATGATGACTATGATGGTGATGATGACCATGATGGTGATGATGACTATGATGGTCATGATGACCATGATGATGGTGATGATGACCATGATGATGATGATGACCATGATGATGATGATGACCATGATGGTGATGATGACCATGATGGTGATGATGACCATGATGGTGATGATGACTATGATGGTGATGATGACCATGATGGTGATGATGACCATGATGGTGATGATGATGACCATGATGGTGATGATGATGACCATGATGATGATGATGACCATGATGGTGATGATGACCATGATGGTGATGATGACCATGATGGTGATGATGACCATGATGGTGATGATGATGACCATGATGATGATGATGACCATGATGATGATGATGACCATGATGGTGATGATGACCATGATGGTGATGATGACCATGATGGTGATGATGATGACCATGATGATGATGATGACCATGATGGTGATGATGACCATGATGGTGATGATGACCATGATGGTGATGATGACCATGATGGTGATGATGACCATGATGGTGGTGATGATGACCATGATGATGATGATGCCCATGATGGTGATGATGACCATGATGGTGATGATGACCATGATGGTGATGATGATGACCATGATGGTGATGATGATGACCATGATGATGATGATGACCATGATGGTGATGATGACCATGATGGTGGTGATGATGACCATGATGGTGATGATGATGACCATGATGATGATGATGACCATGATGGTGATGATGACCATGATGGTGATGATGACTATGATGGTGATGATGATGACCATGATGATGATGATGACCATGATGGTGATGATGACCATGATGATGATAATCATGATGGTGATGATGACCATGATGGTGATGATGATGACCATGATGATGATGATGACCATGATGGTGATGATGACCATGATGGTGATGATGATGACCATGATGATGATGATGACCATGATGGTGATGATGATGACCATGATGATGATGATGACCATGATGGTGATGATGACCATGATGGTGATGATGACTATGATGGTGATGATGATGACCATGATGATGATGATGACCATGATGGTGATGATGACCATGATGGTGATGATGACCATGATGGTGATAATGATGACCATGATGATGATGATGACCATGATGATGATGATGACCATTATGATGATGATGACCATGATGGTGATGATGACCATGATGGTGATGATGATGACCATGATGGTGATGATGACCATGATGGTGATGATGACTATGATGGTGATGATGACCATGATGGTGATGATGATGGTGATGATGATCATGATGGTGATGATGATCATGATGGTGATGATGATCACGATGATGATGATGGTGATGACCATGATGGTGATGATGACCATAATGGTGATGATGATGACCATGATGATGATGATGATCATGATGGTGATGACCATGATGGTGATGATGACTATGATGGTGATGATGACCATGATGGTGATGATGATGACCATGATGATGATGATCATGATGGTGATGATGACTATGATGGTGATGATGACCATGATGGTGATGATGACTATGATGGTGATGATGACCATGATGGTGATGATGATCATGATGGTGATGATCATGATGGTGATGATGATGGTTGATGATGATCATGATGGTGATGGTGATGATGATCATGATGGTGATGATCATGATGGTGATGGTGATCATGATGGTGATGGTGATGATGATCATGATGGTGATGATCATGATGGTGATGATGATCATGATGGTGATGATGATCATGATGGTGATGATGATCATGATGGTGATGATCATGATGGTGATGGTGATCATGATGGTGATGGTGATGATGATCATGATGATGATGATCATGATGGTGATGATGATCATGATGGTGATGGTGATGATGATCATGATGGTGATGATCATGATGGTGATGATGACCATGATGGTGATGATGATCATGATGGTGATGATCATGATGGTGATGATGATGGTGATGATGATCATGATGGTGATGATGATCATGATGGTGATGATGATCATGATGGTGATGATGATCATGATGGTGATGATGATGATGATCATGATGGTGATGATGATCATGATGGTGATGATGATCATGATGATCATGATGGTGATGATGATCATGATGGTCATGATGATGATGATCATGATGATGGTGATGATCATGATGATCATGATGATGGTGATGATCATGATGATGATGATGATCATGATGGTGATGATGATCATGATGGTGATGATGATCATGATGGTGATGATGATGATGATCATGATGGTGATGATGATCATGATGGTGATGATGATCATGATGATCATGATGGTGATGATGATCATGATGGTCATGATGATGATGATCATGATGATGGTGATGATCATGATGATCATGATGATCATGATGGTGATGATGATCATGATGGTGATGATGATCATGATGATCATGATGGTGATGATGATCATGATGGTCATGATGATGATGATCATGATGATGGTGATGATCATGATGATCATGATGATGGTGACCTGTCTCTCCCTGTCTCTCTCTGCAGACGCGGTGCTGTTGGCCGCCGGCGCCGCGTGCCTCTGCTGTGCCCGCACCGCCTCCCCCCACCCCCCCCTCCCCCCACCCCTCCCCTCCCCCCGCCCCCCTCTCACCACCACCACCTCCACCACCACCAGCACAACCTCCACCACCACCGCCACAACCTCCACCACAACCGCCACCACCACCACGGAACGAAGCCGCTCGTCGCTTCGCGTGCGACACGCGACTCCTCGCCGCCATCTTGTGCCAGGCGCGCGTGGCAGAGCACGTGGCGGTACGGGGGGGGGTCACGTGGGGGGTACGGAGTACGGGGGGGGGGCACGGGGGGGGTACGGGGGGGGGGTACGGGGGGGGGCACGGGGGGGGGCACGGGGGGGGGGTGGGGGGCACGGGGGGGGGTGGGGTACGGGGGGGGGGGTGGGGTACGGGGGGGTGAGTAGCAGGCCTCACCCCAGCTAGGTGAGTAGTAGGCCTCACCCCAGCTAGGTGAGTAGTAGGCCTCACCCCAGCTAGGTGAGTAGTAGGCCTCACCCCAGCTAGGTGAGTAGTAGGCCTCACCCCAGCTAGGTGAGTAGTAGGCCTCACCCCAGCTAGGTGAGTAGTAGGCCTCACCCCAGCTAGGTGAGTAGTAGGCCTCACTCCAGCTAGTTGAGTAGGCCTCACTCCAGCTAAGTTAGGAATAGGATTCATCCCAGCCAGACAAATCTTGCAAATGATGTTAATGATGTTGTTGACTTGCTTCTGCTGCCGCCGGGTGCAGAGGGAGTTTTTGAGGAGCGGAAACCGGAGCGCCGTTGTCGCGTGGGCCTCCTGGAGCCTGGAGGCCTCACTGCTGCCCGACCCGGCCATCTCCCAAGTGTGGGCCCAACGGCGGGTCCGTGTGTCCGTGTGTCCGAGTCCCGGGTGTCTTAGTCCACGTGTCGGGGTCCGTGTGCGGCCCTCAGAGGGGCAACGGCACCGTAGTGGTTAGTGACCCGAGTTCGATTCCCACTTATGCTCACCGCCAGCCTCAAAGCAGACGTCGCAAACGGGTTTTGATTCCTTACCCGTACCCGGCCGCACCAGGGTCGCAAACGGGTACCCGTACCCGGCCGTACCCGTACCCTACCCGTACCCGGCCGGGTACGGGTAGGGTACGGTTATCGGGTACCCGATTGCGACCTCTGGGATGAAGCCATGTTGCAGGCGCGGGTGGGTTGATTCTAGGAACTTGAATTGTGAGAAGAGACAAGACGTTGGGAAATGAGTGACAAACGGTGACTCACCAGTGACCCTACCCGTACCCGTACCCGGCTGCACCAGGGTCGCAAACGGGTACCCGTACCCGACTGGGTACGGGTAGCCGGGTATCGGCTAGGATACGGGTATCGGGTACCTGGTTGCGACCTCTGGTTCACAAATTCCTTGACCAGCTCCGGTTTGACAGCAGAGGTCTCCGAATCAGTCGGGCAGGATTATCCTTACATCGGCTGTGTAACGCCGCAGTGTGGAAGCTACCTGGTCTGTCTTTCCGCGCAAAGCTTCGGGTCTTCTCGGCCACGGTCATGCCTGTCCCTTCTCTGCGTTGGTGAGATGTGGACCCCCCCCCAATAGAACATCTGCGCTAGTTAGAAACATTCAGGCGGGCCCTGTCTACCATCCATCCTGGGTTTAACCAGCAGGTTGGATTGTGTGAGGAGCCCACAAACCCTTGTAGGATATGGACGGACACAGTCCCATCGGTGTGCTCCGGCAGGCAAGGCTGCGTTGGCTGGGTCACGTAGCCTGCATGCCCAGCCACCCCATGCCCAGCCACCGCATGCCCAGCCACCGCATGCCCAGCCACCGCATGCCCAGCCACCGCATGCCCAGCCACCGCATGCCCAGCCACCCCATGCCCAGCCACCGCATGCCCAGCCACCGCATGCCCAGCCACCGCATGCCAGCCACCCCATGCCCAGCCACCGCATGCCAGCCACCCCATGCCCAGCCACCGCATGCCCAGCCACCGCATGCCCAGCCACCGCATGCCCAGCCACCGCATGCCCAGCCACCGCATGCCCAGCCACCGCATGCCCAGCCACCGCATGCCCAGCCACCGCATGCCCAGCCACCGCATGCCCAGCCAACCCATGCCCATGCCCCCAGCCCACCCGCATGCCCAGCCACCGCATGCCAGCCACCGCATGCCCAGCCACCGCATGCCCAGCCACCGCATGCCCAGCCACCGCATGCCCAGCCACCGCATGCCCCAGCCACCGCATGCCCAGCCACCGATGCCCAGCCACCGCATGCCCAGCCACCGCATGCCCCCCCACCGCATGCCCAGCCACCGCATGCCCAAGCAGATTATGTTTGACCGAATAAGAGGGGGCTACACGGGCTGGAGTCGAGATGGACTGACGGCGTGGGTGAGTGGGTGGGTGAGTGGGTGGGTGAGTTAGTAGGTGGGTGGGTGGGTGGGTGAGTGGGTGGGTGGGTGGGTGAGTGGGTGGGAAAAGTGAGTGGGTGAGTTAGTAGGTGGGTGGGTGGGTGAGTGGGTGGGAAAAGTGAGTGGGTGAGTTAGTAGGTGGGTGGGTGGGTGGGTGAGTGGGTGGGTGGGTGAGTGGGTGGGTGGTGTGAGTGAGTGGGTGAGTGAGTGGGTGAGTTAGTAGGTGGGTGGGTGGGTGAGTGGGTGGGTGAGTGGGTGGGTGAGTGAGTGGGTGAGTTAGTAGGTGGGTGGGTGGGTGGGTGAGTGGGTGGGTGGGTGGTGAGTGAGTGGGTGAGTGAGTGGGTGAGTTAGTAGGTGGGTGGGTGGGTGAGTGGGTGGGTGAGTGGGTGGGTGAGTGAGTGGGTGAGTGAGTGGGTGAGTGAGTGGGTGAGTGAGTGGGTGAGTGAGTGAGTTCTCCACGCTGGGCGACTACCTCCACCTCCTGCACGTGGCCGCACTCACCCTGCGCCCTGTGGGCGAGTGGGTGGATGAGTGGGTGGGTGAGTGAGTGGGTGGGTGGGTGAGTGGGTGAGTGGGTGGGTGGGTGAGTGGGTGGGTGGGTGAGTGAGTGGGTGGGTGGGTGAGTGGGTGGGTGGGTGAGTGAGTGGGTGGGTGAGTGAGTGAGTGGGTGAGTGGGTGGGTGGGTGAGTGGGTGGGTGAGTGAGTGAGTGAGTGGGTGAGTGGGTGGGTGGGTGAGTGGGTGAGTGGGTGAGTGGGTGGGTAAGTGGGTGGGTGAGTGAGTGGGTGGGCGGGCGAGTGATCGAACAGGTGTATCTTGCGTGCCTCCGAGTATCTGCGCGAGTGATTTGATCCATTATGGTGAAGTTTGGATCCGTCCACCCCACCGCCCCCATCGCCCCCCCCCCTTCCCCAGCTGTCGTCCCTGTGGAGGGAGGTTGTGGGGGGCTCTGCGCTGCTTGTCTCGGCTCTGAGCGGCGCCGCTGGGGCCCTGGGGGACCCGGCTCCGGCAGTCAGCGCCCTAGGGCACGCTCGCTCCCTGCACCACGTGCTGGCCGCCATGGTGAGTGCCACGCAGAGACAGCTGCCACTGGATGGTGCCCCCCTAGGCTATAGGCTACACAACAGCAGTCATCGCACCCCCATACTGGCAGCAGACTCACACACAGGGGCAGATGCCACTGGGGACATCCCTAGGCTAGACCGCACACAGAGGCAATCACAGCCCCCGACTGGCAGTACGCCGGGTAACACAAAATTTGAAAACCTGAAACATCCCGCCCGACGCTGTTTGCCGATATTCTTATATCTTCCACAGGAAATGACATCAGAGCCAGCAGCGGAAGCGACTCAACTGGCGCAGGAAGTGATGTCGCCGCCGCGCGTTACAAACAGTCCGAGGCAGGCGGCGACATTGTCGCAAAAGGACGCGGTGGAGCAAGCGCAAAGAGTGACATCACAACCACTGGCCGTGGGGCAGGAAGTGACATCACAACGGCGAGAAGTGATGTCACAGCCGCCAGTCGCGGCACAGGAAGTGACGTCGCAAACGCGGGCCTCGAGACAGGAAGTGACGTCACAGCCGCCAGTCGCGGCACAGGAAGTGACGTCGCAAACGCGGGCATCGAGACAGGAAGTGACGTCACAGCCGCCAGTCGCGGCACAGGAAGTGACGTCGCAAACGCGGGCATCGAGACAGGAAGTGACGTCACAGTCGCCAGTCGCGGCACAGGAAGTGACGTCGCAAACGCGGGCCTCGAGACAGGAAGTGACGTCGCAGCCGCCAGTCGCGGCACAGGAAGTGACGTCGCAAACGCGGGCATCGAGACAGGAAGTGACGTCACAGTCGCCAGTCGCGGCACAGGAAGTGACATCGCAAACGCGGGCATCGAGACAGGAAGTGACATCGCAACCCCAGGAAGTGACGTCACGGAGGGCCCGTCGGCTTGGCGTGGCGGAGGTGTTTGCCGTGTCGCGGGACTATTTGCGAGGTAAAGTGGCCTTGTTCCTGCGCCTCGTCGCCATTGGCTGGTGCCCGGCCAATCAGAAGAGACGTCGGCGGATGCTGTGCCCCAAACCGTGAGGTCGGACCGAATCGTAGTAGCAGCGCGTGTGCACAGAACGCCCCACCACATCGCAAACGCGGGCATCGATGATATTTATCGATATTTTATATTTGCCACAGGGGAGTGAGATCATCATCATCGCAACTGCGGGTGGCGAGGCAGGAAGTGACGTCACAGAC